CCAACACATACAATTTGGACACTATCCTACTCCATCTATAAGATGAAGGTATCCAGTGCTTCTTATGGTTCAAAAACGAACTGATTTTCAGGCATCAATGAAACGGATATCAAAGGTATGGGGATGTATTTGCCACACGTTTAAGGCTGCATATTCCTCTAAACATTCCTTCAACTGGGCCTCGCTATATCCCTGCAAAAGTAAAACATCTTGAGCAATCGGGAAGTTCATGCAAATATTTGCCAAAATTCTCACTATTTGGTGTTAAACTCAACCAAACATACCCAACTTTCTGGAAAAAAAAAAAAAAAAAAGAAGAAGAAAGAAAGAATAAATATTCCAAGTTTTACTTTAAGCTTCCAAGAATCCCAAGCAACTGCTGCTGGGACATGCAGCTTAAGTGAAAAGACAGGTGCTAGGATGAGTAGAAACTTAAAACTTTGCAAAATGAAGTTTTCAATGCAACTCCTAGAACAGGAATAAGCCAATAATGGCTGTCACCTTTGGCAGGGCACTTCAAAGGGTGGCATTTTATTGTTTGATATCATTATTCATTACCAGATCAATAAATTCGACTCCCAGACTTAGAGAACTAACCTTTCTAGAAATCCAATTTAGTGCATGGGCATAGCTAAGATCCATCTTGTTAGTCCTTGCAGCTTCATCTCGCAGTATTGAATAGATATCGGAGATTGCATCCAGACCAGATTTCTGGCGATCATCAGCATATAAAGAGAATTTTGACATCTGCATCAACCTAAGAGCCTCATCCACATCACTCTGAGCCACAGTTTCTGAGAACCGAAGCCTTGCTAGTGCCTGTAAGTGAAGAAAAAAAAAATTAGCGAATGCTGTGTCACCCAGAAATAAAAGATGCCAAGCAAATCCATAATACAGTAATAAACAGGACTTACGGCTGATATCCGGAGGATACTAAGCAGAGTCCTGACAGTAGTATATGAATGAGGGGTATTTGATCTAGCTTCTTCTTGCCGAATACTGGAGTAAGCAGTTGCAATGTACTCCTCCAGTTCCCTTGGAACATAAGGTGACAATCTTCTTGCAGCAGAAATATATGCACTATATCAAAAGGTAAAAAGACCTAGTTAAAAGAAATACAACAAAAATCAAGACCACCCTTCAAATTTCCTGGCAAGTATGATCTTGGAACTTGATAAATCAATAGAACTTAAGAAACCAGTACACATAGACAACATGACTGGCCATTTCAAGTTCACCATCCATATAATCAGGTCCAAAGCCATTCATAAATAAATTGCAGATAAGTAATAATAATGATATTTACCGGAGAACTGATGGTTCAAGCGGAGTGAAACCAAGAGCAGGAGATTCTCTTTTCTGGTGCACATAGACAACATGCCTGGCCATTTCAAGGTCACTATCCATATCTGCTCGATCTAGGATCAGCCACAGAAGATCAAATCTTGATAGAAGGGCTGGAGGGAGATTGATATTTTCAGCTGGAGTTCTACGTAGGTCATATCTTCCCCTTCAAAACAAGTTGTGAATCAAAAGTAAAATTAATAAATTAGATCTTGCATATAGAGCACTCAATACATGAAACATAGGTTTCAAGTAAGCCCCTTTTATGGTAGGAAGATTAGATAGAAGTAAAATGATTTACAGAAAATAATAATAACTTTGAGAAACACTAGAGGATAGAGAGGCAATTACCAGGCAGGATTTGCAGCAGCAAGAATTGCTGTTCTTGCATTAAGAGATGTGGTGATTCCAGCCTTAGCAATACTGACAGTCTGCTGCTCCATAACTTCATGTATTGCTGTTCGATCAGATTCATCCATCTTGTCAAACTCATCAATAGCACATATACCCATATCTGCCAATACCTGAAACCAAGTGGACATACTTTATTTAACCTCAGGAACCTATGGCAAACAACTGGATCACAGAACTCATATTCAAGATCACTTCAAGAGGTGAAAAAAATAACTGGAGCTGGCCTACTGACTCAAATTTATAATAATTAACAGAACCAATTATGCAGCAGACAGATTGGTGTATTTAGTAAGGCACAAACTTGATGCAGTTTCAGTAGCCACGTTCTTCTAAGCAAGCTCATACTCATATTAACAATAGTATCAGCATCCAATTAAACAAATAAATTGTTACACAAATAATTTCTCACCAATGCTCCCCCTTCCAACACCATTTCATTTGTTACTGGATCTTTTTGAACAGCTGCTGTTAAACCAACTCCACTGCTTCCTTTGCCAGTGGTATACACCCCTCTGGGTGCCACATTTATTATGTGCTTGAGAAGTTGACTTTTGGCAACCCCAGGATCACCCATCAAACATATATGTAGATCTCCTCTAATCTGCAATCCAATGAAGTAATGCATTAATAGCCAGTCTCAATGACACAGCAGGGGAGAACTCATTTAAACTTGTCAAAAGCATTAACACAAGCTTCAGAGTAATCATTTAAAGGGAAAAAAATGAGAATATAACAAGAAAACAAAGCCTTTCAAGATGAAAGGGTAGAGAAAAGAAACTTTTTGGCCTTATTGCTTAAAACCTGAACTCATCTTAATAAATGAATGATAGACAAAGGCCACATTTCTTTTATTTAAGTGTATTACTTAGGATAATGATTACTCAAAACACCCAGTACTCATATTAGAAAAAAGGAAAAATTGACCTTCATCCCATCCTTCAGTTTCCGGTGAGGAGCACCCACAAGAAGAAGAAGGAGAGCTTTTTTAATATCTTCATGTCCATAAATTTCAGGTGCTAATGACCGTGCCAACTTGTTATAGATATCACCATCCTCAGCTAAACGAGCAATTTGCTCTTCCTCCTCTTCCCCAAGTTCATAACTGCAATAGGGCATATATGAGTTTATCCACTAAACTGCTTAGGATTCAATTGAAGTCACTAAATATATAATCAGAAAACATTTCATTTAAGAATTTGCCACAATATGACAGAACCTCTATGACAAGCATATTCATTCAATTTCCAGGATAAGTATGAGCAGTACAAACAGTAAGTTGAACGGATCTTAACCATAGGTGCGTTTTGATGATTGCAAATGGAAAAACAAAGCTTACTCTTCATATTTCTTCTTAAAGTGAGTGACGGACATGGCTTCTAAGTAAGTATCTGCAACTAAACCAGCTCGCAGTGCCCTAAATCCAGTGTAAGGAACAGGAAGAAAGATTCCTGATAATTCAACAACATCACCTGGTGCTACCTGGCAATTAGGTGGAACAGGAAAATTGAAAGGAGAAAAAAAAAAAAAAAAGTAGCATAGATGAGCAGTCATATCTTTAATCATGACAGGATGGAAGTACTTGCAGCAAAGCAAATCTTACAGCTAAATAAATGGTAAACTTCACAGAAGTAGGGAAAATCAAATTTCTATCTTAGGCAGAACATATCTCCATGCAACTACATGAAGATTCTTCGGGTCCAATAACCAAAATGAGTCAATTTTATTTTTCACTTCAGGAAATCCACACAAAGACAAGCCTAAGGTGCTAGCTAAATTAAGTCTGCAATGAACTTTTTCAGTATTGACGCAATTGGCGCTTGAACAAGAATGTCCATCATTCAAATATCATGATAGTGAATCATAATTTATGATACATTGATAATGCATAGGGGACACTAAGAACAGAACAAACATTTCTTGCAACCCATTAATATCCTAAAAAAATTATGCAAAAAGAGTACCAACCTTTCTTGTTAGTTCTCCTCTTAAATGGACAGTCATTGATCGCGGGATATGGCCTTTTGGAACATGTTCCGCCAACTCTTGAATCTTGGCCTGCAAAAAGTCATCTTGCATCATGAGCCAGCAACAGCAAATTCTTGCTTGTGATTAAAGTTACTGTTTATGAGTGAAAATCATATCAAATGGAAGACCTCCTGAAACTTCAAGAACTTTGACGCTCTGAGTTGAAGGATGAGGTTCCCTTTTGTCTTATTTACTTTACAACGGTCAGTTGGACATTCAAACAGAGGCATGAAAACTCGAGCAGTCACCTCCTGTTTAGTGCATGAGACAAAAAGAAAAACAACAAAACTGAATTAAGAAGGGATCAGAATACTGCTTTAAATTAACAGACAAGCATTGTGGGGGTGTGGTGGGGGAAGATGATAACACCATTTGAAATCAAGAGCTAAATCACCTGGTAAATTTCAAAGCCACATTCTTCACAGGTGTATACAGCTACCTGCATCAAGGGCTTGACATCTGAACAACGGGTCACAATACCAGATATCCTTACGAGCTTCCCAATATATGAAGCCTTGACCTCCCTAATGGTAAATGCACGCCCCTTAGAAATTGCTTTAAAATAAACTTCACTGAATCAACAAAAAGAAAAAAGAAAAGTGAGCACTAGGCAATAAAGAAAATAAAAAAACACTGCATAGAATATTGTAAATTTTTTAGACAAAGTAAATTCTTTAAGGACAAACGGATTGCATGTAGAACTCTTAAAGATGTATAAAAACCAGTATCCAAGAACACCAATAGCAGTTAATTTGAGGACAGGTTCCATCAAGAAGCACCATACAGTAAATCCACAAGAAATTCTCCACTTGGCACAGCAATACAGCTAACAAAGATCCTAAACTGAAAAATATAATAATCCACTAATTATAAGAAAACCAGCTAGCATTCAGCTACAAGTAAACCATTACATCCATGTGAACAAGAGCACAAGAATATAAAATACAATTTTAAAGCCATCATAGTTTTTTACTTCAAGTTAGACTTAATTTCACGTCTTCCATTCTTATAGCAACCACTAACTACACAAAGAGATATTCTACATAAAGAAACACCAAAAAAAAAAAAAAAACATCATATCTACTATTGGATGCAAATAATCAATCATCTCTCAATAACCAGATGCATCCTCATCCAGTAAGGGAAACGGAATATAGGGAAAAAGGGTTTTCCTTGAGCTTACTAGTAACGCTTAATCTCTGGAGGCATCTTCTTAAGTGGATTAGTAGCATCCGCATTTTCAATTCCATTTCCATTGTCTGCCCTCTGCGTCATCAGTATGGGAATATCATCCGGAATGTCCTCAGCGGGCGCTGGCAACAGCTCATCAACCGCTGAAGCGAAAATTCCTATATATCTGCGAGTATTTTCAGTAATCCGCCTGAAAAACTCTTCATCCTTGTCCTTGTACTATTAAGATCAAATTTAACACAGACAAAATTCATTACTTTCCCAAAAAAAAATCTAAAAATTAATAAATATAACAGAAAAATATCAAATGCAGAACAAGAGGAAGAAATCCTCACATTATCTAGGTCCTCAAGATCAATTTGTATCGCTCGAATTTTATAATTCGCAACTTCTTGCTGGAAAAACAGATTACATAAGAGGTTACTCCAGGTACTCAATAGAAAATTACTATTAACAAGATAAAATAATATATATTTCCTGTCTAAATCCATGGACAACAAAAAAAAAAAAAAAATTGGAGGTCTAGGGTTTCTAGTTCCCGGCGGTGGACAGAAAGAAATGGGGGGACTCACAAGGATGTTCATGTATTTCGGCTCGCCATTGACGTCTGTGAAGTTTGAGAGGAACTCCTTCGCGAGAACTGTTAACAGATCGAAAGAAAAAGAGATCAGAGGGGAGTCAGAGTGAGATCTGAAGAGGTCGCAGAGAGAGGGAGGGAGAGCGCGTACCTTTGTCTGCGTCGAAATCGAGATTCTTCATGGTT